TCTGGAGCATGTAACAAAAGTAATTTCCCTCTGGGATTATTAAGATTATTAAAGTATTTCTGATATAGTGTCTTTTTTCTGTCTCAGGCAGCTGTAGCTGTCATACTGGTTTGATATAATCAAACCCTTCACAGGTGTTGCCTCCTGGTCTCCACTGAGGGAGGCACCTTGGTTGCTGTATACATTTCTGTCTTGGACCAATTTTTAATAAATATTGTTTTTATAGGGGTGTCTTTGATAAGTTACAGTAGGTGTTATTGGCCGTACACAGGAAGGGCTTCTTGTAGCTGATCTGGAGAAGCATTTGACTGAAGACACTTTGTTGTTATTGTCAAAAGGAACCCTCCAGTTTGTCTATTACAGTCTTAATTATTTTTATGTGTGAAGTCACTTTGCAGCTTTTTCAAAGTTCATTTTCACTATTATGTTTTTTTTCTGTTTGAAATTTGAATCTGCTGTCTGGCACTGTGGCATTCAGAACTGTTTTCATAGAGCCACAGAAGCCCACAGGTTTACTTTTTACAATTGCAGGGTTGCGACTTTTACTCTTATTCAAACTACTATAACACAATACTATTTTATATGATTATTATAATGTATTATACTTGATAAGCTGTTTATGCAAAAAAACTTTATTAGACATTATTTTTGGATAATTTAGTGGACTCAAAAACTGTAACGGCAAAGAAAAAAAGGAAAAGGAGAGAGGTGAGGCAAGAAGTTAAAAGGATAATGATAAGCCATAGCAGATTCAACCACAGGTCCAGAGACCTGGGACTATTTGAAAGAGACAACCCACCCGAGCCTCCCCAGGATAAAATGGCCCTCAAACCGATCCCAGCTCCAACCCCATGGAGCCCCACCACAAACTTCAGAAACAATATATTCCTAAAATATTTCAGCAATAGCAAGTTCATTTAAAAAGAAAGACTAACAATTGGCTCAGGATCTCGGAAACATCTTAAGTAAGCCTAAACATTTTAATAACAGATACCTCAGAATATTATTAATTCTGACAATTTAAAAGGCTAAATCATACGTAGTTTAAAAAAAAAAATTGTAATGCCCTGAATCATGAACTGCTTTATCTATATGCAAAATGATATATAATAGATGTCTTTTTTTTATTATTACAGTATGATATGCTAAAATTTACATTAGGATTAAGTTATTTATACTAATTTTATCTATACTGTTGTTTTTTTACAAATAATATCCTTCAGTGGAAAGACACAATAAAACTAATTGTGCTTAAGGGTTGTAAAAATCTTAATTTAAAAAGCATTCAACCTTTAAAATGTCAAGCATTATGGTTTGAAAATGCATTTTTAAATCGTGCAGAATTTGCAGATCATTTGATATAAACTCTGCTGTCCAGCATAGTTCAGCAACTGCCTGAAGATATAATTTGGGAGAGCAAACAAAGCATTCGCCACTGATCCTCCTGCATCAGGATCTCGTCTGTTAGGTATGTCAACAAACACGCCGCCGTTTCAACAGGACATGTTCTCCATAAACGTCTTGTCCGTCTCTTTGCGCAGAGTTTGAAACTGCACAAATGCTCAGAGCTTCAGTTAGCAAACAAACCCTGTGGGAAAAAGACAGGATACAGAGGCACATGAGCTCTGTCAATAAAGTAGGTATCCTGTTGGGCTGCTTAGTTGTGGTTTGACATATCTGATGATGAACATCGTATGTAAAGTTCAAATCAGATATTTGCATACACTGTACAACAAGACGCTCCCCTACTTCTTTACTCATTGTCTGACATCAAATATTTCTTAATTTAGGCCAATCGAGAATACCTTCATTCCGAAAATGTTTTATAAATTTCTAACTGTGTAGCATCATGAAACAAATGTTGGATCTCCCCAACTGTGTTTTATCTTGGCTAGAGTTTTCAAATGCCTTATTTTACCATTTTTCATATGCATGTCCTGCCATTTATTCTCTGAGACCAAAAATGTGTGAATAAACTTCAGAATAAAAGCATGAGAAGTTATGACAAGTCTTGTACTGACACAGGCTAATAAAGCTACTCAGAGAGGAAGTAGTCATTTCTCAAATGTAACATAAAAAGGAGAATGGTACTCAAGGACAAACACCATGGGATGACAGTGGCCCCAACCCAAAAAGTTGTGGGTTTAATATCTGCTTCCTAGTCTCACATGTGTCTTAGTCTGTGTGCCTGAGTTAGTATGACTTTGATATTCTTCTGAAAATCAATGCTGTTACCCTTCACATCTGTCTGTGATTTAATCGATAGCGATCTGCTGATCAAAAACAGCAGGTGACTTTCTATTTAATTTTCCGAAAAGTAACAGTAATAATCAGATTAATCCTAACTGAGCTAAAACAAACAAATTTGCAATGTAGTGTGGCCGAGTGGTTAGGGCATTGCTCTTGGAATCCAGAGGTTTTGAGTTCAAGCCCCACTCCGACGGACTGACACTCTTGCTCCCTGAGCAAGACCCTTAGCCTCAGACTGCTCCCCGGGCGCCACACAATGGCAGCCCACTGCTCCCCAAGGAGATGGGTTAAATACAGTGTGCTCATTTCATTGCTCGGTACTTGTGACAGTATAATGAAGAAAAAAACAGAAGTAAAGTTTGATCTAATATCAGATATTGACAACAAAGCGTACCTTCCTTTCTACAGAGTATCTACATATCTGGTTCCAGCTGTATATTTACCTGATTTTCTTCAGATGTGTTGTGAGAAAAGAAGTGATGGTTTTAAGGTGACTCTGTGTGTAGGATTCTTGAAGACTTACTTCCTAAAGCAGGTAGGAAGACAATAGAGACTGTGTCATTATATACATATTCTTTATGAGGGGAGATAATGGTTCTGAAAGTGATCCTCAAAACAAAAGGCTAACTTGAACAAGTGAGGTGCTTTGCATTGAAATACTGGCCCGGAGAAAACAGATAAAGACTGAAAAGATGACACCACTGTGTGCTGTTCTTGGGTCCTGACACAATGAAGTCATGGCCAGTCTGTAACTCACACCAAACCCTGTGTATGGAATAAGTTAATGCAACAGCTTTGACTGAATGCAGCCCGGAGAATGAGAAAAATCTTCTGATATGCTACCACAGCGAATTGTTTCAACATAAGTTCAGATATTTTCTTAAACACCGCAGTGACATGAGGATAGCATGTGGCGAGACTTAGGTAATGGTATTTTATCAGTTAGGAGAGGTGATTATGATGAGAATGTTTTTCCTTTTTTTCCCCCTTTTGTTGACTTTCAGCATCCTCAGGGTTGAGTTTCTGTCTATTTCCCAGTATAAATAAATTCTGCCTGTCACGACATTCACCTGAGGAAACACCTTTACCTCACTAAGTGTTTTTAAGATGAGCTCAGATGTTGTTCTTGGCTTTGTTCAGAGTTTCACCCAAAATATACATGATGTTCTTCACATTTAGAGACTCATTAAAATGAATTAACGTGACAAAAGTATGAGAATACAAGCTGAAAACTGCAAACAACAGCTACATCCAAGGCTCTCCAGTTATTGTTCCACTGCTGTCCCTCTGTGAAGTCCTCCTCCACTCCCAAGCTGGAAGGTTTCCAAGCGAATATGAGTATCAGCAGATCATAACTCCAGATATTGAGGTTTTCTCTGCTCTTTTCCAGATGCTGTTCAGTAATTAAAAAATAGCTTTCATTCTTTTCTTAATTTCCAAACGTTGGGGGAAGCTTTGTCGATCCTCTTGCGCTATACTTCCACACTCTTAAAGCTCAGATGCAGCTACACATGGAGCGCGGTTTGAAAATTTCTGTCTGTATAGCATTGGGAAAGAGGTGGTTTATGCTAATTAGTCCTCTGTTCGCTGCTGTTGTGGAAAAAAAAAAAAGAAATAATCAGACTCATCAAAAGAAAAGAGTGTATTTGATCTTTCTTTTTACTATTCAGTAGGATGTACAAGTATTTATACTGAAAATGTTCCACTTGTATTTAATATCAGCAGCTTTAATGCATTTAATTTGAACTTAATGGGACAGACCT